ATAGTTTGAAAAAGTAACTTCAAACCATGACAATTACATGTATATAAATACAAGTTTATTTGTAATTCCCTTAATTGCTCGCCAGCTAATATCGATCGTTATCGAACTATGCTAATGATTAACTTAACCAGATACGTAACACTACAATCTAACAAGTTATTGTTATTTACCAACAACAACTACCTTGTGAACATTGCTATAACTCAACACTCATAACATATAAAAACGGTAAATTAAAGGTAAAATATTAACTTAGATACATACCTTCAAAAAAGGAGTACAAAACAATATATTTGGGTGACTTATCCTCGATAATAAACAGAAGACTGATAAGGATAATCACTTTGGGACTCCACACCATAAACCGGACAATTACTGATTTCCTACAAAACAAAAAATACATAAAATAATAACTTATATACGATATTAAATCAAAAGATACCTACCTGAGATAGCAATTGTCAATAGACTGTGAAAGGACCGCTATCAATTTTTTTTGACACTCTAAAATTAAACTATATAGGTAATCATACTTACATTAGTAAAAAAACCACATAACTACATTCTATTATACAGTGGTAAAATTAAGTTAGTCACTACATTCTTATACCTATTATTAAAATTTATAATAACAGCACAATTACTTTTAGCGGATAAGACTAAGATGTCTGTGGAGTATACGAACTCTTAAAAAGCTGTATAAGTAACATTAATATTAAGAAATATACAGCTGAATAAACATAGTAATATCCACTTACCTGAATAGCTTCTGATGATACTAATATCAAATCGGAAAGCAGGTAGTTCCTTAATAAGATTATACTAATATAACAATTATTACCATACATTATTTACTAGGCAACAAGTTAAACTATCGTGTATACTAAGTAAAATGAATTTAATGCACAATTATAATAACATCAAGAAGTCGTTATAAGGTAACTTATTACACTTACACTATAATATTAGGTTGTTCGAAAAGTCCTGCGACACTTTGACCAATTTTTCGGACTAAATTTTCAGTCACTAAAAGACATCTCCAATCTACAAGGTAATCACCACTAAGGACTAGGACTAGTGCCCTTCTTTTGCACAGCTTCTCATTTTCATTCTTACAGAGCTACGGCAACT